TGGACTTAGGGAGATTCATCTCTGTATTCTGGTGAGAGAACCAGGTGACGCACAGCTGCCCCCAGCTTATTTTCACATGTGAAACGTTGGAGGTGTTTTTTTGGTAAATAGGAATTTTATTACCAAAATAGAGAGTACAACTAACAAAAAGAGTTGTACTAGCAATAACACCCAAACTACACAAGACCCGTAGGTCAAACCACCCCAAAAACAGTTCAAGGATCTAGAATAGCCACCTTCTAAAAAGGGTTCTAAACAGAGCCAAGAACAAACTGAGCCCAAGCACCTGAGCACCTTCTAGGAAGGGTATCAGGAACAAGGACCAGAGAATAACCAACACAACTAAACAAAACCAAAACAGCTATTACAAGAATAATTATTACAAAAAGAAACGCAAAAAACAGAAACGTCGAAGGTGTTAGCTTGTGTTAGATTGATGTCTACTACAAGGGGGGGGTTGAATTGTAGGATATGGAGAATAGTGAATTTTTTGCGGAATTAAACAATGTAAGAAAAGAGAGAACACATGATATAGGCTTTTCGAATATTTTCACTATGTAAAGACTCTGTTACAAAGGTGAAACTTCTGCCTACACTCAAGTTCCTCTAAAAACTCAAGTATCCCAGCTACGGTCCCTCTACCACAGCTTAACTCTCTTATATGATTCGACTTTGAATCACTTACAACTCTCTAACAGACTCACTCAAGTCTCTTAGTTACAATTCTCTCAAACCCCAATCCCGAATTACAAAAGTAATTACAAGACTTTTCCTAATGCATTAGAGAAGATTAAGACAGAAAGGAACTCAGCTCTAGACAGTAAATATTTTATGAAAACTTAAGCTCTAAAAACTGAATGTTTTTCCACACCAAAAATCAGATCGAGTTCGTTGCAAGCCTTTTATAGAGGGATGGAAAGCCTCAATCTTGTTTCCCACTCCTCCCATGATCCACGTTCACCTTAACCTTGGAAGTTAAAGAACGTTGATCAGAGAGTGGGAAGTAAGATCTCCCTGACTTTCCTCTCAAGCTTTCAACGTGCCTCCTTAAAATTAGATAACCAATTTTACTTGGTCAAAATAAAGCAGTTAAAAAGATTTTTTTATTTAAAAAGATAAAAACTTTTAATAATTATTTAATTTAAAAATAACAAACTTATCTTTTAATTAAACAATAATTAATTATTTATTTACTTACAAAATATATCTTATTTTGAAAACTGATTTTATTTTATCCACTTTTAAGGAGTAAAATTGATTTTGTATTTACGTTAAAACATTTAGTTCCTAACTGAGTTCCTCTCTGCACATAAAGACTCTAGTGCTTACCATGAATTCAACGGACTGGAATTTTCTCTTCTTCTTGAAAGCTTGCATATGAATATCAAGACTTCCAATTCGATATCTGAATATCTGAACTATTACAAGCAAGTGGTATAGGTATCTGAATTATTACAATAGATGGCCTATGATGTAAGGAAGTTATGATGGTACCAATAAGAAATGTATTCAGATATCATAGTAAAATAGCTAGCATGCAAAATGTACGTAAAGGAATATTATGATATCGGTACACAAGGGAACCGATAAATAATATGCATATGCATGATAGAATGGACGAGTGAATAAGGGATCTGAAATATATATGTCCATTTTGATGTCGAAATAATGATAATGATCAAAAGTTTGTCATGGACCAAAAGTCCAATGAAATATGGATTTTTAAATCCACACTGTACAGTGCCTTGCATTATTTTGAGTCTTATTTATGTTTATATGCATGTATGAGTCATAGGTTAACAGATTGTTCATTGCATATGTCAGTAGTTGTTAGATGCATTGCTTATTGTATATTTTGCTTAATATGTTATCATGTTTTATATATCTCATATTGCAATTATTATCAAACTCTTGAAAAGTCTATGTGACTACATCATTGACATCTCAACCTGAAGTTTGAGCATATGAAAGTTAGTGAGATTTGCTTTTGTATTTGCAAGAGAGCTATCGTGTCAATTATAATATGTTTAAAGAATATCAATGGAATACTTATGCGTGAGAATGTTTTCTTATGGTCCAGAAGAACCATGATTAGCGTATCTAATTAAATGTGTTATATTATAATTCAGATGAGATTGAAAAACGACATTAATAATATCAAGTTTTGTCATCAAATTATTATTAATGAATGTTTGATCAAATAATGATCATCGATTTCTATTATTCACGACCTCCAGAAGAAGGCCTAACCGCATAAGTTTAACTTTTAAAGTAACTTTATTCAAACAGAGGTTTGGAATGATGTAGAGATGAATACATGTATGGTGAAATGAAGACACTTCACATGTTCACTTGAAGACTTGAAGATGCAATTTTAGTTTAGGAGGATCGAAGACCAACAAATGATATTTTACTATATATTAGAAGATCTCAAGTTATGCATTCATCAGGGGGAGAAAATACGTGCTGCACTCTGTTTCCCTTGACCATGGTTTTGTCCCACATTGGGTTTTCCTGGTAAGGCTTTTATTGAGGCGGCATCTCGAGCGTATTACAAAGAATGTTGTACTCTTTTTCCTTCATTAGGTTTTTATCCCACAGGGTTTTTCCTAATAAAGTTTCAACGAGGCACACTCTTCGATAATGGACATCCAAGGGGGAGTCTTATGAAATATTTGTGGATATACATTATCCTCCCTGTATCATTCCGGAATATTCTAGATCTAGGATTTATTGTTATCTAAGCAAACCCTAGTTATAGACTGATTTATTTCTCTCCCTAATTTCTCTCCTATCTCTTTTATTTCTCTTCCATATTTAACGGTCATTATATAATTGGTATGTTTTTTATTGATTCGTTTTGTTCTACTACCTACTCGTATAAAATAGGGTTTAAAGGGAATTTTTCATTTTCTAGGACCAGGGCAGAGTAAAAAACGAGCTTGAAAAAAAAATCAAAGATGCTGAGATTGCAACTCGCAAAATCAAATGGTCGTCTTGGGTTTGCCCGACCCAAATTTGTCGCAAGAAGAAAAGGAATTTCAAAATATGAATCATGCAATGTTCATGTAAGTTCCTCGTCACACCATTAAATTCTTTATTAATTTTTTCCAAACAACAAATTAGAGTGAAAAGTTCGTATTTTTAATTATCTATTTTGATAGTATTATACCGTGATAACATTAAACTTGGATTATTATATTGTATTTTGTATGAAGTAATGATATATGATAATAATGATTTTTTGTTTATACAAATTATATCTTCCATGTTCGTTTTGATCGGAGTTACTATTGTGAAGTTGGTGCATCAGTTGGTGAGGTTATTGGTGCATATTTTGTTTCTACGTTTTCATGGAGAAATTTAACCACAGTGAGTCAGTGATGGAAGATGTTTTTGCTTTAGGAACCCTAATAATTTAGAGTTCTTTTACTCGGAAGACTTTTCAATAGCATTGTAATTAGTTTTAGTCTTGATCCTTTATTTTTATGGATCAATCTTGTCCATTAATCCAACTCTAAAAATTAATATAAAAAAAAAAAAAAAAAAAAAAAAAAAAAAAAAAATTGTTAGGAGAATTCATAATTATTATATATTATAGTTTCCTTGTTTATAGATTTGATTGATACAAGATAATATGTAGAATATCTTGTGATATTATCTCTGGTATTTTAGGAAGCTATGTACCCTATATATGATTTGTGATAAATGAGAAGAGATCAAGCTTTGAGTTAATTTGACAAAAATAAAAAAAACTGCTTTCATATATTACAAAACGGTTTTCCATTTTTTTCCCGTTGATTTGTAAAAAAAAATAAACAAATAAAAAAAAATAAGGATACTACCTGCAATTCCTAAAAGATCAAACATAGGAAATGTTAATCAAAAAATCACAAATGTGTTTATATCATTATAATGTGACATTTAATGTCTTAACACTTTATTTTGTGGGATTAGAGTATATTCATGCAATGCACGATTTTAAACAAAACACATTGTAAGATTTAATTTGTTTATAATACGGATAAAGAAAGTTTCTTCTCTGTAATTTTTTTTGTATATATGGTAAGTCATAATGAACACTTTTGAATATTGAAATATTAATATAAGCATATGAAAGGTTTATTAGATAAAAAAATAAAGGTAAATGTAAAAAAATAAAATAAAATAAAAACTAATGACATCATCATAGCAAATTGGCGGGAAAAAAATTTATACTCGTACTAGAGTGACATGTGTACAATTTGAAGAAGTGATGATTTCAACAACGTTTTGTTTTGGTATTAGTTAATAGATTAGATCATCCTGGCAAAACCAAAAGTAGAGATATGAACGGAAGAAATAATTGAAAGCAGTGTGCGATAGATTTTTAATTTTCAAGTAAACAATCATCTTAAGATAAAAACAAATTAATAATAAAAATAAAAATCATCAAATATAGTTAAGCTATTTCATCAAAAATTTCGGTGGAATTCCTTCTTAAACAGATATTCCTAATCAAAGTGGAGAATTTACTGATTTTATATGGTTTTTTTTTTTTTTTCATTAAAAGTCAACTTTTTTTTTTTTTTTTTTTGAAGACAACATTTTAAGTCAGCTAAATGAATGAATACGATGAGTTTTGTTAATTGAAGAGTATTGCAAAACTGTCCCTTTTACTCACCCTCATTTTTATTCAGTTAATTTCTCGTTTTAACTGGGCTTCCAATAATATGCCCTAATACCTTCATAAATTTTTTTAAAAAATATTACGGAGTAGCTTTAGTTTGAACTTTTTTTTTTTTTTTATTTATTTATTTATGGTAGCATGAGATAAGAAGTTTAATTTCTGACTTATGAAGATGTACATTTTTTTTTCTTTATTCTTTTGTTAAAAAAATATTTATATATCTTGAGCAAAAATATTATGATTGTACCGTTGTTTTTGCTAGAGATTTGGCACCTTAGCACAAAGCCAAGAAGACAAAGGCATGGTGACAAACAACATTAGGAATAATAACATGGATTTCAGTTTAGAAGTGGCCAAAAAAGCTCTGAATTATAACTCATCATCAGTTAACAAAAACATGGTTTGCTCTCCGTTCTCCATTAGCACCACCCTCGACGCCTTAGTTGCCGGTGTGAAAGGCAAAACCTTGGAGAAACTACTTGGCCTCCTAGGCTATAATAACATGGAAGAAGTCACTGCTATGGCCTCTAAATCGGCGTATGTTGTTGAATCAAACGGCGTTAATGTTGGCGGACCTATAATCGCTTATGCAAATGGAGTATGGTTGGATAGGAAATATTCTCTTAACAGTTCCTACAAAGAGTTTCTTCAAAGTATACTCAAAGCGCAACTGAAAGTCGTGGATTTCCAAGCCAAGGTATATAAGCATCCACCCTAGTTTTCATTTTAATGGCATTCATAATACAAGCTAATATTCAATATTTATCACTAACATTCAGTTTGATTAGCGAAAAATATTACTCTGTAGATAAATTACTCTCTCCATTTCTTAAAAACTACTCTTGCGTTGTTATGTTTTAACTCTTATTTTTTTTTATCAATCACCGTCTGAATAGAAATGAACTTTTAAAAACAATTACGAATCTGAGCATTGATTAGTTTGGTTTTGAAACCAATGGTCCCTATAGTTAGTTCCTCTTTGCTTTTCAATATAGACCAAGATATTGTTAAAAAAACACGTATTATTACTTAACATTAAATAGTTTTCAAGAGATACTAACAAATATATTCTCCTTAATTTAGTGCAAAATTAGGTAATGAAAGTAAATAAATTATACAATCCTCTATGAATTGTGATAGAAAAATTAGTTAATGGATATAAAAAAATTATACACACTGATACCATGGGCGGAGCTAGAAGGGGACATGTGGGGACACTTGTCCCCCCATTTTCAAAAAAAAAAATTTAAAAAAAAAAATTTAAAAAAAAAAAAAAATTTTAAAAAAAAAAAATGCAATTACAGATTTACAGTGCTCTGTTGCGAATTGCGATATTTGCCAGCCAAACCCTAAGTTTTTCAATTTTCAATTTCTCTCTCTTCGATTCGCCCTCGCCTGTCGCCTAGCCGGCTCGCCGTGACGCCGTCCACCGTTCGCCGGCAGTTCGCAGCAGTGACGAGGTTCAACAGCCGCCCTTGAGCCTTCGTCCTTCGTGACTTCGTGTCTTCGTGACTTCGTCAATCGCCTAGCCGGCTCGCCGTGACGCCGTCCACCGTTCGCCGGCAGTTCGCAGCAGTGACGAGGTTCAACAGCCGCCCTTGAGCCTTCGTCCTTCGTGAGTTCGTGACTTCGTGTCTTCGTGACTTCGTCATATGCATAAGCATAACACATTTGCTGTAAATCTGGATTTCAATGGAGGTATGAATCAATGAATGTATGATAAATTGAATAATTGATTACTTGTTTTGTTGTTTAAATGTTTAATTGTTTAAATTTACAGTAAATCTGAAATTCTGAATTTCATATTTTTATTACTTGTTTAAATGTTTAATTGTTTATATTTTTATTGTGAATTTGTCATTTGTGGCCTTGTGGGTATTGATTATTGAATAATTTGAATTGATAAATGATTATTGATTTATATTTGTTTGATTGTTTCCCCTGTTAGAGTTTTTGGTTGTTTTTGTGAAATGTGAATTTAAATTATTAATTATTGTAAATTATTGAAATGTGTAGTTGAATTAGAAATTTAAAATCTTAGCCTCTTAGGTTTTGTTATTATGTAATGATGTGGATTGTGGTCTTGTGGAAATTGATATATAATTTTCAATTTAACTAGGAAATATCAAAAGATTCACCAAATTCAAACAAATCAAAGGCAACTAAACAACCCGATCTTCGACAATTCTTGTTTAAAAGAACGAGACTCAATGAAAATGAGTCCAATAACTCACCTTCAGTTAGCTCCCCTCAAAGTCAAGAAAATAGTATGGAAATGGGTGGTTCAAGTAATAGTAATGTACCATTAGAGGAAGATTTGGTGTATGATGTTGAACTTCTTCCTCATGATCCGGGAAAAAGAATAAACATTATGGATTACCCCGCAAATGAACGAAATGCTGTTAGGAGGGGTTATATTCTTAAAAAACCTTGCCAACCAAAAACTCATGTATTCCCTACAAGACAAGTGTCTGGTTTGCGTCGCTTTAGTGTTCATTGGTTCAACAAATGGGATTGGCTTGAATATAGTATTGAAAAAGATGCTGCATTTTGTTTTGTATGTTACTTGTTCAAGAATGAAGTTGGTATTAAACCGGGGGGTGATGCATTTGTTGATGGAGGGTTTAGGGCATGGAATAAACCGGAAAGATTTGAGAAGCATGTTGGTGGAATTAAAAGTGCTCATAATCTTGCTTATGAGAAATATGTGAATTTAAGAGATGAAAAAAAGAAATCAATCTTGAATGTGATTGACAATGCAAGTGATGTGATTAAAAGTGAATATTTTATCCGCTTGAAAGCATCTTTATCTTGTTTAAGATTTCTTTTGGGGCAAGGTTTGGCATTTCGTGGACATGATGAAAGTGGGGAGTCATATAATAGGGGTAATTTCCTTGAACTTTTGAAGTGGTTAGGAGAAAAGGTTGAGGAAGTAAGGATACATACTCTTGAAAATGCACCTAAAAATTGTCAAATGACTTCCCCTCCTATTCAAAAGGACATTATTAACTGTTGTGCCAAAGAAACAACTAGGTGCATAATAGAAGAAGTTGGTGATGATTACTTTGCTATATTGGCCGATGAGTCAAGTGATGTGTCCCAAAAAGAACAACTAGCTCTTGTTTTGCGTTTTGTTGATAGAGATAGTGGAAAGGTAATGGAGCGATTTTTAGGCATTGTTCATGTTGCTAATACTACCGCTTTAACTCTTAAAGATGCAATCATGTCTTTACTTGTTGAACATTCATTGAGCCCATCTATGATAAGAGGGCAAGGGTATGATGGAGCTAGCAACATGAAGGGTGAAATAAATGGCCTTAAGACTTTGATTATGAATGATACTCCAAGTGCCTACTATATACATTGTTTTGCTCATCAACTTCAACTAACATTAGTTGCCGTTGCTAAAAAGAATGATAGTTGTGGTTGGCTTTTCGAGATACTTGGAAATTTGTTGAATGTGGTTGGAGTTTCTTGCAAGAGAAGAGAAATGATTCGTCAAGATCAAGCTCAAGAAGTTGCTCGAGCCTTGGATGTTGGGGATATTGTGAGTGGATCGGGTTTAAATCAAGAACTTGGTTTGAGTAGGCCCGGGGATACTCGTTGGAGTTCTCATTACAAGTCACTTTTAAATGCCATCCTCTTATTTCCTACAATTATTAAGGTGCTTGTACAAATTGGGAAGCATGGTGCATCGGAAGATAAGTTCAAAGCTCAAATTGTTTTAGGACAATTAGAGTCATTTGACTTTATTTTTGTTGCTCACTTGATGTTGACTATTTTTGGATACACTAATGATTTGTGTGTTGCTTTGCAAAGAAAGGAGCAAGATATTGTAAATGCCATGGAACTTGTCACTTATACAAAAACGGTGTTGCAAAAAATGAGGGAGCGAGGATGGGATACTCTCTTAAACAAGGTAACTTCATTTTGCACTAAACATGGTGTTGTTATTCCCACTATGGATTCTCTTTATGTTCCTCATGGAAGATCAAGACGTTTTGTTGAAGAAGCAACAAATGAACATCATTTTCGGGTTGGAATTTTCTTAAGACTAATTGATTTGCATCTTCAAGAACTTGATGAACGATTTAATGAGAGGAATATGGAGTTACTATTATGTATGGCTTGTTTAAGTCCTAAAGATAACTTCTCATCCTTTGATAAAGATAAGGTACTTAAACTTGCCTCTTTTTATCCCGAAGAATTTTCAAGCTTTGATTTGATGGCTCTTGAATATCAACTTGATGTATTCATGGAGAATATGCTAAATGATGAAAGATTTCAAGGTTTAAATGACCTTAATTCTCTTTCTATGATGCTTGTTAAAACCAATAAGCATAAGACTTTTCCTCTTATTCATTTGCTTATCAAGTTGATGTTGATTCTTCCCGTTGCCACGGCAAGTGTTGAAAGAGTGTTTTCTGCAATGACATGTGTCAAAAACAAGTTGCGAAATAGCATGGGTGATCAACTTATGAATGATTGTTTGGTCACTTTTATTGAGAAGGATGTCTTCTTACGAGTTTCCGACGAAAAGATTATTGATCGATTTCAAAGTATGAAGACTCGAAGAATGAACTTGTAATTTTAATGTAATGTTTATGTAATTTTTTTCATCATTTTGAATTGTATGACTAAGTATATATTTGTATTTTGAAATTTTAATATTAAGTATTAACCAATTTGTGTGTGAGTTTTTTTTTTGTTTTTATTTTTTGTTAAGCTTTTCGTAAGTTAAGCATTTTGTCCCCCCAAGTTGAAAATCCTGGCTCCGCCACTGACTGATACTCCCCCTTAGTACAACATTAATCATAGATTAGTTGTATGTATACGTTATATTTTTTCTCCCCTCATTTTATTACGTTGTGGTGTATTAGAAAGACAATCATACTCGGTAATTTGTAGACTAGCACCGAGTATTTTAGGATCGGTGACACTATCTTTAAGTAACATCCCAAAAGATGTATATATGTACATAAAGATTTTTATTTGTAAAATTGGATGATTTTCTCACTTTTATAATTATAAGTTTTGTTTATTTATTTCTTGTGAAGCCTGATGAAGTCGTGAAGGATGTGAACTCCTGGATCAAGGAACAAACGAATGGGTTCATTCCTAAAGTTTTATCTTCGAATCACACTTTCAACCAAGACATTGTAATGTTTCTAGCCAATGCATTATATTTCAAAGGAAAATGGGCTGAGACTTTTAATTCATCCATTACACAAAATCGTCGATTTCATCTCCTTAACGGAGATGCAACTTCCCTTAATGAAAAAGTCAGATTGCATGTATGAGTACGGCTCCTATGAGGGTTGCAAGGTTCTCAAGATGCCATATCTGGGTAGCAAAAACGATAAAAGAAGGTTCTCTATGTACATATTTTTACCTGACGACACGTGTGGTCTCCCTAAACTCATGGAGAACATCAAGTTTCACAACAACATGTTTGATAATGATCAAATCAAGCTCACTAACGTCAATCTAGGGGAAGTTTTAGTCCCAAAGTTTAAATTCGAAAGCGCAATTGAGCTTTCGGGTATAATGAAAGAACTAGGGCTAACACTACCCTTTGAGTATCTCGGGGATCTTACAAAGATTGTTGATCTCCCCTCGGAATTAAATGATTTGATCTATGTTTCGGACATCGTTCAAAAGTGTTGTATTGAAACTAATGAAACTGGTACGGAGGCAGCATGCTACACCGAGCTAGAATTCGACGAATCGTGTGCTCCTCCTTCATCCTTGGATTTCATTGTTGATCATCCTTTCATGTTCATGATTAGGGAAGACCACTTTGGCAAAATACTTTTCATGGGCACGGTTTATAATCCTTTATTGGATCAAGGCATAATACAAAGTTGAGCTAGGTTTTGATCTACTTCTAGTTCGTTATTAGTCCATTTAAGTAGTGTATTACTTGTATTGATTATACTTCATGTAGTTTGAGAAGAATTTTTCTATCATATTGAATTTTAAATTTAAAGAACTTGCAAGTAATATTTGTTTAACCAACGATTATCAATTTTCATTTTTAGGGGAGTTTATTATTTGATTTGTTGAAAAATTTATTTCTCCACTTATAACTTAACAATACATTAAAAAAATTTCAGTACTATATATTTTGTTATGATTAAACTAAAAAAAAAATTAAAAATCACCTAATTTTGGGTACCACCGTACCATACTACCACTGCTTAAACCTTAGCCCAATGATTTCAATTACTCTTTAAGTCCTAAGATATCGTTAATCAATAGTGATTGTTATGGAGTACATAACTACAGTACAACGGAGTAATTAATTGTCATGTACTTACAAATTACAACAACCAGGTCTAGTTTTGCCTCTGCTAAATGGTAAAAACTTTAAAACCTTTATATTTGAACTAATAATAATAGGAAAAATAAGATATGAATGTGATTTCTATCATTTCATACTGATGAATGTGATGATGATGGTAGGAGATAAAGGAAAGGCAGGCAAGGCTCGACAATTAAAAGTGGCAACAAAAATAATAATGCTCTCGTTGAGAGTCGAACTCAAGACCTCCCGCTTACTAAACGGGTGCTCTAACCAACTGAGCTACGAGAGCTATTTGTTAAAATGTGCCCGGTAAATTAATTGGGTAAAGGATGAAAAAGGTGAGAATAATTCTGTTAGCTACGTTTGATGCGGTGCCATAAATGAGGCGAAGGTTGGACCAAAACTAAGAAAATTAATTAATGCTCTAAACCTATTTAATCAAAAGGTTATGCAAAACACTCACTAACCACATCAATTTGTCGGCAAACTCCAAAGTTTAAACTACCAACAAAAAAAATTACTAATACAATGTAGTTTAAGAGTTGGGAATTGAGCTTCTTTGTTATTTCTAGCTAAAGGTGGTACAGTATTAATTTGAAAACATTTTATGATATTTCTGATGATTTCATCATGGTACATAGAGTTGTAGTCTTGTACACCACAGTTGGGATCATAAATGTATTTGCCATGTGCTAGTTCATTTGCTACACCTAGACCTCTATAAAGGATTAAGGACATTTTGCATAACCTTATTTTGAGTAGTCATCAATTTGCTCGTTGTTGAAGGGCTTGAATGATAACCTCAAAATATATATGTCGTACTATTTTATATGCTTAAGATGTGTGTCAATTGATTTGATCTTTTGACCAACTGTACATTGACTAATGTGATAGATAGGCATGGATTACATTCAGTGATTTACGACCGTTTTGTTGCGACTGTCCAAAAAAACGGTCGCAATTTGTACTACTTACAACCAGTTTTCTGCCGGTCGTAATTTGTGAAAATTGCGACCAATAAATACCTTATTGCAGCAATTTTACCCGTCGTAACTTAGTTTTAATTTTCTTTTTTTTAAAAAAATGGTTATGACCGTCCAATCGGTTGCAGAATCGATCGTAGAATTTCGAAAAAATAATTAAAACAAAACAAACTAATTCATTTTGTTAAAGAAGGGGAAAGGAGAAATAGCGAAGAAGACCTAGAGGCGAAAAATGGTCGCTGACCCAGCAATTCCTTCCACCGACGCGGTGTCGCTCCTCATCGGTATGTTGTCTAAATTGTTCTTTTTTTTTATTTTGTTAATTTGTGCGAAAACCCTAACTTCGGGTCGCAATTCAACCCCTTTCACAGGACCACCGTCACCGGATTCCCCCATTTGTTCTTTATTGATCATATTTATCATGTAATGTATAGAGTTGTGATCTTTATTATAAAAAATTGCATCTTTATTAGTTGCATTTTGATTTTAATTTATTATCATTGCTTTACTTTGTGAATGTGCTAATTGTTTAAGTGGATTTTCTTGAAGAATGATTCTTAAATAATTGTTTTAGCTTATCGAAATTAATTACATGATAATAACCCTTGATTAAAATGGAGAAATGTGAAGTGGGGACAAATTTTTATAGTTAATGGTCGACATTACTTGTGAAATTAACATTCCTTTACTTTGTCAATCTCTTAATAAGTATAAATATAAATTAATAAAGAAGATTATGAATGGTAAATTATGTCATATGTTTAAATGTGTAAACGGATTTATTTGCATCATTATATGCCTAGATACTCGTTCAAGTCATACTCAGTAGGAGTATGACTTGAATAGTCCCCGGTTGGGACTGTTCTTTGACATCTAATCTCACTTAGGTGGTAAATGTATGCTGTGTTTTTTATTATACGACTATGTTGTTCTCCGGGTACATATGTAAGTTTAACAGAGCTCACATCGTGTACTTGGAGAACTCATGGGAAATGCTATCGGATTTTACGTAGAATCAAACATTAGCTATACATTCACTAGTGGGGTTAGATGTCCAAGGATGGGTTAGGTTGTAGTGATAAGGACCTTCGGATATCGTTTTGATTCTAATTGCATCTTATACAATGGTTGTAATGAATACAAGTTGATTGAAAATGATTAATGTGATTGATTTGTTATAGTGTTGTAGAACTTGTCACTATGAAAAGGAAAGAGCGTTGGTGGATGTATGATAGATACAATGGTCGTAACCTTAGGCCAGAGTTTTTGGAAGGGGTTAAACAATTCATTTAGTTTTGTGAAGCAAATCCTGAGAGCCCAGGCATAGATGAAGTAAGATGTCCTTGTCCGTTATGCAAAAATAGACGTCTTCATGATGCAAACACAGTAAAACTTCATTTGTACAAGACGGTGTTTATACCTGAGTATTACGAGTGGGTGTCCCTGGTGAAGGGCTCCCTACATCAAGTAACCAAATACTTACCGTGAAATGGTTCTCAATGCTCTTAGGAGTAATCATGAACCATCGGGTGACGATGGTCCTAGTGGTTTAGATAAAGAGCCAAATGCTCAAGCAAAAGCATTTCAAGAGATTTTAAAGGTTGCCGAGCAACCACTGTACGAAGGGAGCTCCATGTCTGTGCTAGAAATGGCATCTCGAATTGTATCTTTGAAGTCAGAATACAATTTGCCACATAGGTGTGTTAATGGGTTTGCTTCATTAATGAACGAAGCAATTCCCGACAATAATAAGATGGGGAAAACATTCTATGATACGAAGAATATTCTTAACGGACTTGAGCTTCCGCACGAGAAGATTCATGCATGCCCAAAGGGTTGTATGTTATTTTGGAGAGCTGATGCTAAGTTGGATAAGTGTAGAGTGTGTAAAAGGGACAAATACAAGAGGACATCAAAAGGGTCATTGGTTCCAATAAAAAAACTTATTTATTTCCCCATCACTCCAAGGCTACAAAGGTTGTTTGCAACAAAGAACATTGCTGAGGAAATGACATGGTATTCCAAAAATCCTAGAGTCCAAGGCACAATGACGCATCCTAGTGATAGCGAAGCTTGGAAGCACTTGGATAGATCCTTCCCCGATTTCGCATCTGAACCTTGAAATGTGAGACTTGGTACGTGTACCGATGGGTTTGCTCCGCATGGCAAGTTTGGGGGTCAATACTCTTGTTGGCTAGTCATTCTGACCCCTTATAACTTGCCTCCATCAATGTGCATGAAAAAACCATTTATGTTCCTTTCTTTGCTCATTCCTGATCCTAAAAATCCGAAGGGGAACTTGGATGTGAATATGCAACCGTTAATTGAAGAGTTGAAGCAACTGTGGGATGTTGGTGTAACAACTTACGACATTTCTAAGAGACAAAACTTCAATCTGCGTGCAACAATCTTGTGGACTATAAGTGATTTCCCAGCCTATGGTATGCTTTTGGGATGGTCAACAGCCGGTAAAAAAGCGTGTCCATACTGTTTGGATAAATCAAAAGCTTTTTGGCTTGAACATGGTGGTAAAGTGTCATGGTTTGATTGTCACTGACAATTTCTTCCTCCCAAACATCCTTTTCGTAATAACAAAACTGCTTTTTGTAAGAACAAGGTTGAAAAGGGATCACCGCCTCACATAATGTCTGGTAACAAGTTGTGGCAACAAGTTCAACAGTTGGCAAAGGCAACAAATGGCCCTGAAGCACTCGCAAGCTTGAAAAAGGAGAAACTAGGGTGGTTCAAACAAAGCATTCTTTAGGAGCTCCCGTACTGGAAGACTCTTCTCCTTCGCCACAACCTTGATGTCATGCATATTGAAAAGAATTTCTTTGACCAACTAATTCACACAGTAATGGATGTGAAAAAACATACTTCAGACACAGTTGCATCTAGAAATGACATTGCCAAATATTGCAAACGACCACAACTTCATGTGACGGAGGATGCGAGAGGAAAAGACACTTTACCAAAAACGCCATTCACACTAGATAAGGCTCAAAAGAAAGTTTTTATGCGAGTGGGTAAGAAGCTTGAAATTTCCTGATGGTTATGCTTCTAATTTGACTAGATGTGTAGATTTACAAACATGCAAGCTTCATGGTTTGAAGAGCCACGACTGTCATGTCTTCAAGGAGAGATTGTTGTCAGTTGCTTTGAAGAAATTGCTCCCGGTCCATGTTTGGAAAGCTATTACTGAGATTAGTCTATTCTTCCGTGACCTTTATTGTTCCACCATCAAATTGAGTGATATGGAAAGATTGGAACACAACATTGCAGAAATTCTTTGTAAGCTCGAGAAGATATTTCCATTATCGTTCTTCAACTCTATGGAACACTTACCCATTCACCTGCCATATGAAGCTAGGTTATGTGGTCCTGTCCAATATCATTGGATGTATCTGTTTGAAAGGATTTATTTCCTACAATGTCATAATTTCCAACATTGTTTATATACCTTGTTTGCATATTATACAACTTATTCAATAATTTAAATTATAGGTTCCTAAATCATTTGAAACGTTAAATTGGAAATAAGGCTCGTGTTGAAGGTTCAATATGCAATGCATATTTAA